TTTGGGAGGGCATTTTTAAAAAAAAAATGTTTTTATGGATTCTAGAGAGAAGAAGGGAGAGGGAGAAAGGGACAGAAACATCAATGATGAGAGAGAATCTGGTCGGCTGCCTCCTGCACATCCCCTACTGGGATTCGAGCCCACAACTCGGGCATGTGCCCTGACTGGGAATTGAACTGTGACCTTCTGGTTCATGGGTCGATGCTCAACCACTGAGCCACACCCGCTGAGCACTTTTGGGAGGTGTTTTGTTGCAGAAAAGAATATGGAGTATGTTGGGGGCTGGAGGGGAGCCTTGTGGAGAAGGTGGTAACTGAGGAAAGGCCTGAAGGAGGAAGCCACCTGAGCGCATCTCTGGGAGGAGGGTTCCAGGCAGAGAGCCCAGCACCTGTGTCTGGTGAGATGGCTGTGGTTGGTGTGGAGGGAGGAAGGGCAGAGAGCAGAGGACGACGCCTGAGAGCAAAGGGTCCAGGCCAGATGGTGTAGGGCCTTGAAGGCCATTGAGAGACTTGGCTTTAATTCAGAATAAAGTGGGAGCCCTTGGAGATTGTGAGAGGCTCAGATTCCTAAACCATTCCAGGAATCCCGCCATCGCTTCCTCCTCCCTCTCCCTCAGCCTGAGCTTGTGTCTCCCTCCCCCGAGGGCAGCAGGCTCCTTGGGGACCCAGGCTCTGGCTCACCTGCCTTTGCCCTCAGTGCCTCCCGAGGCCCGGGACCCCGTGGGCATTCAGCAAACGCCGATGGGTGTGAAGTTGCCTTCGTCTTCCTCCGTGGCCGGATGCTGACTTTGGTTCGGGAAGGACTGCTTGAGAAACATGCAGTCTTCTCCAAATATTTATTTTCCTATGAGCAGCTTCATAAATGACATATTATCTTTTTATTTAAAAAAAATCCCAGCATCAAAAACACTTCACCAGAGAACCAGAAATCAACATGCCTTTCCTTTGCGATCATAAATAAATCTGAATAAAAAATTAGTGTTTTCCGGAGGCGATTCCGTGGCCTTCGGAAAGTACATCCCTCTTCTCGGACTTGGGTCATCGGGGAGTTTCGCAATTCTCCTTTCCGCTCTTCTCAGAGAGCAGCCGCCTCCTGGGTGCGTCTCCTGGCCTCCCGGGAGGACCTCTCCGGGCATGGTTTCCTCTCACCATCTGAGGAAGGGAGTGGACACTTTCTACTCACCACCACGCTTCCTTCCTGACCCCCGGGCTGCGGAGTTTGGCTCCCTCTCCTTCTGGCTCCGCGTTTGCTTCCTCTCAGAACTGACAACCTGTCACCTCCCTGGCTGCCCACAGACCTGGACACCTGGGGCTCGAAGCACACCTGCCTGGGAGAGGCCCCCAGGCACCCCGGCCTCTGTCCCTTTCCTGCCAAAAAGGGCACCAGGGGCCTAAAAGCACCCACGTGCTGTTCCCACGCTTGCGGCCTCGTGCACTCTAAGGGAGGAGACTTTAAGGAAAAAGAATGTCCCTGGTCAAAGAAGTCCTGGTCTTTTATGTGACATACATTTGTGTGTGAGTGTGTGTTTTGTTGTTGGTTGGTGTGGTTTTTGTATGTGTGAGTGTATTTTTTTGTTGTTGGTTGGTTTGTTTTTTTGTGTGTGTGTGAGCGTGTTTTTGTTGTTGGTTGGTTTGGCTTTTGTATGTGTGTGAGTGGGTTTTTTTGTTGGTGTGGTTTTGTGTATGTGTGTGAGTGTGTTTTTTTGTTGGTTGGTGTGGTTTTGTGTATGTGTGTGAGTGGGTTGTAAGTGTGTGGCCCCCACGGTGCTTTGTTCCTACCAGGAGCTGGCTGCTCTCTTGTCTGCATTTATGAGAAGTTGGATGGTTCCTGTTCTGGGTCTAAGAAGTCATTGACCTAGGGGACAGCAATGTTCGGAAAGCTGATGAGTTCTCTCAGCGCAGGAGGGATCTGTGAGTGTCCCCCAGCCTGCGACAGTGGCGGACCTGTGCGGGCCTGCGGAGCAGGGCTACACGGTGTTCTGGGTCTGTGGTTGGTGCGGCGCCCAGCACAGTGCGTGTCCTGTGGAAGGAAGGGCGCTCCCTTCATATTTGTTAAATGGCAGAATGTGAGATGTCCCCTAATGTTCCCATAGTAACCTGTGCGCTCCCTGGGACTTCCTTCTCCCCATAACTCTGCTCCACCCCAAAGAGGCAGCCACGGAGAGGCATTCGTTGCCCCAGGAAATGAACACTTGGAAAGACAGGATTTTGGAGGGAACTCAGAGCAGAAGCCATTGCGTTGGACAACTTCCTTACGAATTAGATGTTCTGAGTTAGTGGAGAACAGAGGGGGAAGCCAGGAGGGTCAGGACGAGTTCCTCCCCTTCTCTGCCATCATTCCTCTAGACCACTTCCAGCGGGGAGCTGGCAGCACACACCCAGGTGTGTCTGAGGAGCTGGAGAGAGATGAGACCTGAGACCTGGCTTTGGTCAGGGACCAACACCCCGGAGCACATGTGGCTGTGATGGCGACGCCTCCCCGGGGAGTGGAAGAAGGTTCCCAGGAGCCGAGGCCAGCACTGACTAGGGGACAACCTGTGTCCGTGGGCCCAGCAGCAGAACATCCCAGGGGCTGTTTGTGACACCAAATATGTGGCAAAGGTGACAGCCACTCTACCGGCAGCCTGCCTACCTGTTAGAGCGGAACAGCACCTGGCATAAAGTAATCATTCGATAAATATTTATTAAATTAATGTGCAGAGGTATTCCCAAACTATTTCCAGTTTTCTGCACTTGGCTCGAGTAAATTCTAACCCACGTTGTGTCTGTTGCTCGTTTATAAAGCAGAGATGTTATAACACCTTCCCTAGGGACCGGGGAGAGAGAGCTCGGCAATCGGTTTGACCACACACCCTGCGAGGCATCGTAGGGATGGCACTGCCCTCAGACACGCTCCCCAAACCTAAGTTACTGGTTGGAAGGGCAAGAATCAGCGAGTCCAAGGATAAAGTCAGGCGCGGCCAGTGTGGCTGGCTCGTGTGGCTCAGTGGTTGAGCATTGGCCTATGAACCAGGAGGTGGCTGGATCGATTCTGGGTCAGGGCACATACCCTGGTTGTGGGCTCGATCCCCAGTGTGGGGACGTGCAGGAGGCAGCCAATCAATGATTCTCTCTCATCATTGATGTTTTTATTTCTCTCTCCCTCTCCCTTCCTCTCTGAAATCAATAAAAAAATATTTTTAAAAAAGATAAAGTCAGAAGAAAAACCGTCTAAGAGCCAGATGAGGCTGACCATCATTGCCAGAGGAAGAGTGTAGGGAGAGACTCCAAGGGAGAGGATATGGGAATACGAGGAGGAATGAAATGAGAGAGAGGGAGAGAAGACAGACACCCTACAGTGCACGGGACAGCCCCACAATAAAACAGTGTCTGGCCCCCAAGGCCTGTCAATTCCAAGCCTCTTAGAACCTCTTAGAACAGTGGTTCTCAACCTTCCTAATGCCGTGACCCTTTAATACAGTTCCTCATGTTGTGGTGACCCTCAACCATAAAATTATTTTCGTTGCTACTTCATAACTGTAATTTTGCTACTGTTATGAATCGTAATGTAAATATCTGATACGCAGGATGTATTTAGGCGACCCCGGTGAAAGGGTCGTTCGACCCCCAAAGGGGTCGCGACCCACAGGTTGAGAACCGCTGTCTTAGAAGGTATAGTCGTGGGAGAGAGTAGGTATATGAAAGAACTGAAAGCGGAAATGAGCATGGCGTGCTCCAGTTAGACAGACCATCAACATCCACGGCTGGAGTGGAGGGTGGTCGTCAAGATCTCATCATCAGAGAGAGGAGCCAGCAGTTCTCAATGCCAAGCTAAGGAGCCTGGACTTAGCATAAAAGCAGGCCCAACGCAAAAGGACAGCTCAGAGCCCCTTGTTCAAAATGATGAAGAGTTTCAAGACTCCGTAGCAGAGCACTGAACCCGGTGCAGGGCCTTCCCGGGCACGGGGCTCTGTGCGGCTGCCCTGCCGGTTTATCCGTGAAGCCCATACAACGCCGTGTGTAAGCGTTGAGGATGCATTGAAAGATTTTGAGCGGGAAAATTCTGGATTAGAGTGAATGAGTGAGGACAGGAAGTGGCAGACGGGTACCTCTGGTCAAACAGGAGATGGAGATCCCACAGAGAAGGTTGGTGGCTGCAGTGATGGGTGAGGGAGCACGTGTGATGTGATACCAGAGGTCCTGTCTCTATGGTCAGGGCTGGAGCCTGGATCCTGGAGGAGGCAGGAGTCATCGAGAGAAGGAGGACGTGTGGGAAAGGGAGCTGGCTTTGGGCGGTTGGTGAGGGGTAAGCAGTCCTAGTCACGGCCGAGCGTGGGACAAGGGCAAGGCCGCCCAGAGGAAATGCCCAGCTGTCAGCTGAAGACGAGGAAGCAAGTTCCCGTTTGGGAATACAGATCTTAAAGAGGCGAAAAGCCTTGTGTAACTGTTCCGTTTGGAAGCCATATGCAGTTTCTCAGGAATTAAGTGGATAGATAAGCAGGGTGCTAAGAAACAGATGAGTAGTTTAAAATAATATTTCCTACCTCCACTTAAAGGAAGCGGGCAATTAGTCATGAGGTTGGAGCCCGCAGCCCGGGGGAAGGTTTTTCCAATTGCTGTTTCCACGAGGAGGGGGCTTGTGCAGGATAACAGATCTGTTTCCATCTCTCAGAGCTAAAACACGCTAAACTAATAATAATAATAATAATAATAATAATAATACTGAAATACTGGCAAAAGCTAATCAGCATTAACTGTCAAAGGGCTCCTGTGACAGGTCCGCCCCTCCCCGCCCCCCAATCCACTTTTCCTCACTTTTTAATGATCCATTTATTTTTCAGGCAATTCTTTCAGGAATTTGAAAGTTTAAGCAGGGGTTACATGGAGAACTAACAGGAAATGTCTCATCTTTCCAAGTTTATTGTTGAGAGTGGCCAGATGTCATTTGTTTGTGAGTGGGAAATGGGAACTCAGATCACAGAACGTGAAATTTAAAACTCCACTCTTTCTCTCTTTTTTAAGGGAGTGGAGAGGAGAAACACACACAGGGAAGCCACTTTGCCTCCTGTGACTTCTGTTAACAGGGGAGTGAGCAGGGCAGCGAGCAGGACGCGAACAGCGGAACGGGGCTTGCTGTCTGCAGGCACCGCTGTCCTCCAGGTCTGTGCACACAGCTGGTCTCTGCCTGGCTGGCCGGGGTGTTTGGGAGCTCTCTGCGGATCTGCTGTAATTACACACCCCGGGAAGGGCCAGGAATGGAGGCCAGAGTTCTTATTGGTCATCATGCCCCAGAATAAAGACTGAGAGAGGGACTTACAAACAGTCCTTCAGTATTTAGCACTTATAAAAGCAATTATACTGATTTTTTTTTTAATTTATATTTTCAGCCTCTGTGGTTTAAACTCTGGGTCAAACACTTCCAGACTGTTCTGGGCTGGCTGGCTCCGATCTGGCCCCTTCCTCTCTAATTGCTCACTGACTGTCCCGGAAATACCCTCTTTGTCCCTTGCTGTTGCTACGATGGTGGTGGATGTAGTGGTGGGGGCGCAGGGGGGTGTTTGGCTGGTTCCCTCTTTGGCCAGGTGTTTTCCCCAGTAGTTGCCATGGCAGCAGTATACAACAGAGGTTCTAAGAGGCTTGGAATTGACAGGCTGGAGGTGGGGCCCGAGTTCCTGTCTCCCCCCACGACTTGCTGATTCATCTGTCTTCCTCGGACGCACAGCACATAGACAGGACTGAGCTTCCCTGGAAGATGAGGCTCCAGGCCAAAGAGACGTAAACTTGGAATTGGTTATTGGATCACTGGGCCAACCACGGGGACACTCGGCTGAATGGAAGGATACAGAGCAACAAGATCCAAGAGCTGAGAACTTCTTGGCCAGTTTTGCAAAGGAAAAGGAAAACAAAGCCCCCACCTACCTGCTGGGCTGCCAAGGGCAACAGGAAAGAGTCTCTTCAACCCACCCCCCTCCTTCACTCAAAGCTAGTTAGCAGGTTTGTCTTCTCCAAGCCCTGCCTCAGATCCCGAAATCCCCACCTTAGTCTGTCTCTCCTTGGGGTTAAATCATTAAGGCTTCACACAATTCACCATAGCTAAGATTTGGAAACAGCCTGAGTGCCCATCAGCAGATGAGTGGATTAAAAAACTGTGTACATCTACACAATGGAATACTACGCTGCAGTAAAAAAGAAGGAATTCTTACCATTTGCAACAGCATGGATGGAACTGGAGAACATTATGCTAAGCGAAATAAGCCAGTCAGAGAAAGATAAATATCACATGATCTCACTCATTTGTGGAATATAATGAACAACATAAACTGATGAACAAAAACAGATCCAGAGACAGAGAAGCAT